CTTCAAACCATCTTACTAATGTAATTACTTGTTGGTATCATAATATATGTAGCGTAATTTGTAATATTTGTCGAGTTGTAAAGCTATTATGGCCGTAGAAATGATCGCTCAAATACTACAAATGTTCAGTGACAAACATAAGTATTTCTGAGCTCAAAAGTAAGCACATTCTCTTACGAAAGGCAAGCTGTAAGAAGTTTATAGGGGACAGGTTCTTTTGGTCTTTGATAAGAAGTTTGATTCAAATTGCAATGTTCATATCCTTTGCAATTAAGCAAAAAAAAACTGATTTTATCCCCCCAGTCCCAACATGTTTAATTTATACAGGTTTTACTGTACTCGGCGGTGACCTAAATCACGCTTCCTCTAACGGCGGCCCCGCTGCACTTGGAAGCACTTGTAGTTAATCTACACCTGAGTCGTTTAGAGTCATTCTCTGTGGGGAGTGAGGATGGAGGAATTTTTTTCTTTGCCCTAGGGCATGCAGGACGGGCTTAACAAGCTGATGTCCTTGCTTGGTCCTGAGGGCGTGCAACACCTTGTAGCGCAAGGCCCCGAGGCTATCGGTGCGCGTCTAGAGGCGTCTTCAAGTTACGAAAACGCGCTGCTAGAGCACCTGCAGCAGGAGATATCTGTATCATTTGCGTCAATCACGCAACCGTCGGTGACGGATGATTTTCCCCGACCGAAGCTGCTCATGGTAAGCGTTAAGGTCTTTGAGGGGAGGAATGGAAAAAATCACCTGCTCTGGGTGAGAGAAGTCGAGATGGCCATCGCATCCGCCATGCTCCAGACTGAGCAACAGCTCGTGGCGCTAGCCATCTCAAAGCTCGGTGGTCAAGCGCGAGAATGGGCACTGACGTGCGGCACTTCGGTCAAGGCTGCGTACCCCTCCTGGGCGGAGCTGAAATTGCAGTTCTCACGAGTGCTCTCGTCGCCTAACACCGCGTACGATCGCGCTTCCTCGCCGCCCGACAGGGCAACAAGGAATTGGTGAACTTTGTCCCAGAGATGCGCACTCTCATTGCCGGGATGGCAGCAGATCCCCTTCCGGAGGCGGTCACA